CCTTTCTTCCTTCCTTCCTCCATTCGTTCATGCCTCTAAAGTGAGGACTACTTGGACGGCACAATGACTATGTTGAAACTGTGAAAGCTCCTTGCTCCACAACTGATAGAAGAGATTTCTTACTTTTACCGCAGAATTGGCCGGTACAACTTGTTCCAAAGGAAAGTTGGCAGTGCGGTCATATTGCCTTTTAAACCTTGATTGGGTTGGACGGAGGACTGACAAATTCGCACCGGGTGCATGGTATGACAAGTTAATCAAAGCAATACGTTGACTCAGCGAAAGGGTCTACATTTTGTGGCAAATCATGCCGCTGTGGGCCCACAGACGAGAGTGTAGATGTAGAGCAGCCACGTACAGTCATATTGCCTAACAACCGTCCTATTTGACGCAATTTCAGATAAACCGGTCATCACGATGCCTGGAGAGGGAAGCAAACGTGTCGGAATTCTGATGGACCCCAGCCTCTCCGAGCCGACGCTCAACGACAGCAAGGTGACTTGTGAGGCGAAGAGCTCGATCCCCGACCGGGGCGTGATGGTGCAATGGAAAAAAGTGAGCTATTTGCTATTCATGTTATGCGAGAAAACTGTTTCATTTGTGATCACATGCCGGTCTTGTAGCTGCTTTTTGCATTACCTCGACCTTTATTTGGGCGAAAAAAGAGTGTCTCGAGCAGGTTCAAGTAGTCCGAAATCACTCGGAGACGAGTGCGCATTCCTTGCTCCCAATTGGTCGACGCACTTCTTGGGACATCTCCCTTTTGCTTCTGCAGCAAATGTCTGAGTCTTCTTGTCTTGTAATACGGTTGGCAGAAATGATCGTAGCAGGAAACCATTTTTGTGACATTCCCCAACTAGTCCTTCTCCTCATTTCAACTGCTCCTTGCATAACTCGACTAGCCTCATCTAACAACAGGTACAAAAAGTTGCATTCTTTCCTTAGCTTATCTCTCTACACTGTTGTAAATGTGTGTATGCGTGTGTATGTCTATGTGTATGCCGAGATGGATGTATGAATACAAATTGACGGTTAAGAGTAATCTTAAAAGTACAAAAACAGTCGTCTTCTTCTGGATAGGGGCTAAACCTCATATATCGCCAAGTCGAACAATCAAGCACAAGTTGTTCTGGCTCAATCCTTAACTCGCTATTCCTAACATTCGAACAACTCCACAATCTGCTCCATATTACCCATGGTTATACTATGATATACAAACAAAAGGCTCTTGGAACACCCCATTTCAGGCTCACTTTATGTAATATGCTTTGTCTATTCTGGCCCTTAGACCCGAAAATATCTACAGGCATTTTAGGTTCTGCCAATATTTGGCCAACAGTCTCATGTATCCCCAACTTAAGGTCAACCACATGAATATAACATTAAGTAGAGGCCTGGTTTGGATAAAGAGTGATCATATTTCTCATTAACGGTAGGCCCAAATAAATAAAATGTATATTTTTTGGTTGTAAATTATTTTGCTTGACCATTTATCCCCGGATAAAAAAGGCAAAACAGCATATTTGGACCATGAAAAAGTCAGTTTTCATATATCGCTTCGCTTCTCGATACCTTTATTGCTTGTCTTCAGTAGCATCTCCCATTCAAATTGCTGTTTAC